TGCAGTCTCTCCTTTGAAAGGGACAAAGACGGCTGCAGCCAGCACCAACTTGGAGAACGGACAAGCAAAGGGGCGGCAACTAATCGAGATTCAACTAATCAATGATGAGAATCATTGCCAACGATTCTCATTATTGATTATAATCGATTAGTTGTTGCAGCCTGTTTGATCTGCATGTGGCTTACAGGGGGAAAAAAAAAACAATCTTTATTTCAGGTGCCTCTTAAAACCTCTGGAGAAAATGCATGGAATCCAAGAGTGGAGAAAGACATGCTGTGCCTATTTTTTGTTGCATGAAAGGAAGCATCCCTTCAGATATACAGTGCATGCTTTTTGCTAATCTCTGCAAATAGTTAATAGCTGCCAAATGTACCAAATTAGCAGGTGCAATACAACTGTTTTTAAACATGGACATTTACATTTTATATTCAGTTTTAAATCCATGTTAATTATGCTCTTTAATTAATACCAATTGTACCAAACAGCTTAAAAGCTTGAAGTAGACGTCCTGCCAAGATATATTTTCTGGGTTTGGATAAAGTGGGAAAGTTAGAATGTCCGTCAAGATTTTTTTTTTTCTAAATGTTGCCTGCATTCCTGTCTTTTGACAATAGTTCCAACTTTTATCAATGTGACAATCTGCTTACTGCAAAAAGTGGAGTCTGAACACCAGCAACTGCTTGATCTCTTGCCCAGCGATTTTGAAATGTTGGCTGAAGACTGGGAATTGAGTGTGGAGGGGAGGTTTATGAAAGGCAAGACACAGGTGGGTTGACCATAAAAGAAGTAGACCAGTTTGGTAGAGTTTAGGGGGAAAGGAAAGGTTTTACCTAGGTGTTCCCAATTTAGAAAACACCTTGGTGGAACCAAGACACCACTGTAGGGGGAAGGAGCAGTGGTATCCTCCAATATAAAATGGAAAGCACAGCCTAGATTTGAAAATGGCTTGCTTCTGTTTTTTTGGGGCGGAACGCTGCCAAAAAAAAAAAGAAATCAGCTGGTGGGGGTCTCCTCTAAAAAAGAGCAGGACTAAAGATCCCTGACAGAATCGGTACCAAATTCCACTTTAGATGGTGGCAGTGAGCTTTTAAGCCTTTACAATCGGGGGAGCAACAAGTTACACTAAGTTACAAAACACTCCACCATAAGACAGGAATAGGAATGAGCACCTGAAGATGAAAGAGGGAGCTCGGAAATAGCTGCTGATGCAGGAGGATCAGGCTGAGGGGCAGAGGAAGTGGTGAAGGCGCACTGTTTCCTGTGGCTAATTTAGCCTTCCACAAAGTAAAAAAAAAAAAAGAAG